AGCTGCTCCGCCTGACAGTGTGCTTGCTCCCGTAGCTGTTCTGCCTGACAGCGTGCTTGCTCCTCTTGGCGGCGCGCTTGCTCTTCTTGGCGGCGCGCTTGCTCTTCTTTCAGCTCCCGCAGCTGTTCTGCCCGACAGCGCGCTTGCTCTGCCATCATTTGCTGCAGCTGTAGCAGAAGATCCACCTGCACAGGCTTGGCTTCTGCATCGCTGGTTTGAGCTGCAGCACCCTCTTCCCTCACACGCTGCGCTTCTGACATTGAACGGGTACTCACTCCTCTTACGTCCTGCGGCACTAGCGGCATTTTTCTCCAATCCCACTTCTGACACCAAATGTTACGTGCCTGACGTCACGTTCCTGACTATGCGGGCTTGGGTTACGGGATTGGATGAAATGAAACACTAATACCGGTTTTCAGACTTTCTATTGCACTTAAGTTACAGCGTCCACGGAGTTAAGTTATCGGCGTTCCTCTCCAGCAGAGTCCGGCCGACTGACACAACTTTGCCGTTCACGCTGACTTAACTCACTTAACTGACTGCACTTCACTATTTCACTCACTTTTCTTCTTTCTCACCTCTTCCTTTTCTTCCGAATCGCTTTAGACTTAGAACTCAACTGCCAGCGGTGAGCCGCAGTTCCGCTTATATACCCCCGGTCAGGTTCTGGAACATTCAATTTCGTTATTCTTTTTAATCGTCATGCCTCCAGAACCTTCCAATAATTTCGTTATTCATTTTTATTTATTCTCCTTCTCGCTCTTTAATTTTTCATTTCTGTCACACAAATAATTCCAGAAAGTTCGACAAAACTTCCATCAACTAAAAAACTTCATGTTTACGGCGGGACTCGAACTCGGGGTCTCTGTGGTGTAATCCACACGCCTTACTGATTACACCAACTCGTGTTGATAATTCACGACGAAATTTACAATCTCTAGGCAACGTTTGACAACCATCCATTGACGTCATGATGTCAAAGAGCTTGAACCACTTTTCCGTCACAATACAATTTCACATGCACATGACACCCAGACCCGGAACAACAATTTGTGGGTCACACAAAGTGTTGTTCTGCGCGGGAATCGAACCCGCGAGACGTTACACGGCAGCCAGTAGCTCAGCCACCGCATCAACCGCGCAGTCAACTCGTATCTATTTAATAAAAACCGCATCAAAATCCGGTGCGTAGTTTTAAAGATTTAAGCATACATACGGATATAGGGACAGAGAAAGCGACTTTGTTTTATACTATGTAGTTATCATGAAATACAAAAAAAATATTGTTTATAAGTCAACACTGTTCTTTAAATATTTGTGGAAATCCAAAAAAATGTTTTAGACGCCAGAGAGAAGTTGTAATTCGATAAATTTAAATGAACGCTATTAATTTCTTAATTAATCTGGCTCTCAAAGGTTTAACTATATTATGTATAAGTTATATTTTAATTAAGTATTTTTTACCAATCACGGGACCACTTGGGTCCCGGTCATTAGGGAGGCGTACGAGAGGGCAAAGCGAACCCGCAGAGACCCTATAGACAACTTTAAGCCTTTGACTGCCGACAGAAAACTGTTGAAGCAAATCCACCAGTGACCCCCATGGCGTTTAACGTGTTAATTTAAATGAAATTGGATAAAAACTGGCGATTATCCTTGTATGCACTATGGAAATGCACCCAAGGACCCGGTTAGTGTAGGATTATTGCGGATAATGGAAACAAGGGATAAGACTATGGGTGTGGGTTGCTATGGACTTGTATGATGGCGACTATGGAAGGACTGTGGCATCTGCCGAAAAAATATAATTTTTACACTTAAAAATGGCAGGAGACTCGCCAAATCTTCGACCGAGCACCGGATTTTTTTGGTTGCTAGAAAAACATAATAGTCTTGTTTTTAGGAAACATAGCAAAAATAATTATCAGAATCTGTGTAGCCGCTAATGAGTCGGCATAGGTAGGTTTACCAGATGGTAAGCAAATTTCCGCCCATGGACACCCGCAACAACAAAGGAGTTCCAAGTGCGTCGCCGATCCTTTGGGGATTAGGGATTAGGAGATTTTAGGATTGGGGGAGGGGAACGATTAGGCATCCGGTAACCTCACTCACACGGCGAAACACAACGCTGTGGTTCTTTCGCGCCTGTTTTCTATAAGGCCGTGCCGAAGCAAGGCTCTCTTACTCGTTTTTTATTCTTTTTAAATAATTTATTTAAAATATGTTTTATTGCTATATTCTACTGTCGATTTTAATACAGCAAGTAGCGTTGGAAGAAATCCTTTTTTAGTTATACTGTTTACGGTTTCCGAATGGAATTACTGATGCGAAGTTATTCAGGAAGTGTTTACATAAAGATAGGCAAGAAGTTGACCTTTTGCGCGCATTCCTAACACCGGCCTTAGGCTCGCAGATACCTAAGTTCAGTTACTAAACAAATATTTATGATAATTTTCCTTTAATGCCTCGATACTTGGTCATTAATTCTGTCTTGTGTTAACTAAGTCTACTTGTAACTAACTAAGTTTTGAATTGTTTTTGAATGGTTTCTTACTTCAAAAACGATTTTGACTTGATAATGGCACCTAAAATAATGGGAGGGCCATGCTTCGGCACAAACCGTGTCATCCGGAGTGACAACACAGAAAACCGGCGTGAAACAATCACAGCGTTTTGTTTAGCCGTATGAGTAAGGTTACCGGAAATGCAATCCTTACCCTCCCCCAATCCCTTCCTAATCCCTAAATCCTCAAAAAGTCGGCAACGCACTCATTACTTCTCTGTTGTGCCCATGAGCGCAGCATGAGCGGCGCTGATTGCGTGCCTGCTCTTAGAACGCGTCAATTCAAACTGAAAGAAGAAAGAAAAACATTTATTTCCGCGCAAGCGCACACACATAAAACAAAAAAAAAAGTAGAAAATAAAATAATACTAAAATCTAAACTAAATGCTGTATCATTTAGTTTAGATTTTAGTATTATTTTATTTTCTTCTTTTTTTTTTGTAAAAATGAAATGGTTTAAAAAATAATAATAACAAAAGAAAAAACGTCTTTGTAAGAACGGTGAGAGGGAGTCCTAGACTCTTACTGACTATTATAACGCTTCTCCTGCTCCGGCCCGAGGCCGTGGAAGATTATCGAACTTGCTCCTACAACCCCGGCTGAACATTCACCCCGTTGGGCTTCAACTGTAATGTTCATTCATAAAAAAGTAACGATGGAGTTTCTTGTTCGTTCTTCTCCATTCGAATCTACAATTTGGAACGAGCACCTAGCTTCACTGACGAACAGACTGACAGACTACTTTTCTATTTTGACGTTTCAAAAGTACCTATTTATGGTTTAGTTGGAATAAATGATTTTGACTTTGACTTTTGACTTTGAAATGTTCAGTTAGTTCTTTGAGGCACATACGGAACGCGATGTTGCATTCGCTTGGGGGATGGTTCTGGTCGTGTGGCGAAGTACCACTGCTTGCTGTCCACAGAACCGCACTTACTTATAGATGGCTGGTTTAAAATGGCAAAAAGTAATGATAAATAGATCAATCAATTTGGCCTGACTATCTGATCTGACTGACCCCTTTTGCTCCTACCTTAGGCTGGAGGTCTGATTTGATGACCTCCCCTCCCTCAAAATAAAAAGACTTCGTCCGGCTAGTAAACAAGTGGTTATCAATCGATATTTGCGATGCAAAGATGTTAACTAGCGCCTCTAGTGTCAAAATTGTGAAGCTGTCTAAGAACGACACTTTGACAGTTTTCCTAACAATCAACGTCAGGTAAAAATACATTACAAATAAAAATCTGATTTAAGTGGCACTTTGCTGTTTAAGGGCAAATTTTTCAATTGTCAGATAAATGTTATTTGAGGAATAAAATTGTTGCTGTCACTGTCTTATACAAACATTCCGACGCGACAGCATCGTAATTATTCCATAGGTAACTTTTATCTAACCATTGAAAAATCAGCCCTAAGTCAGTAAGTATTTATCAATAGTCAGTCAAATACATATAAATATAATTGATGTAAAATAGAATAATTAAAACATATTTATACTTTCTATTTGGAAAAAAATTTAACGCTTGAAAATGACGAGAACAAACTCTCATTCATGGTGAAATTGGCTTGCCTATTCTTAAAGCAGTCTTCCATTTTTTTTCATCATAATTTTGGCGTTTGGGAATAAATGAAAACCTACTCCGTAAGTTCTACACTAAGGAACGCAACAATATTTCGCATTTCTGCTTTTATGAGCAACAGGTTTCCGTATACTATATAATCGTGATCCAATTGAATAATCTAACATAACTTAAATAAATAAACAAGCAAATTGTCGTTCTTAGACAGTTTCTTAATTTCGCCGCTAGAGGCGTGCGGATAATCTTTGCATCGCCCATAAAGAAATAGAAATAGAAATAATTTATTTGCAAAAATGTAGGTATGTTTACAAAAAAAGGATCGACAATTTTATATGGTCTCAATACATTTCACCTCACGGTAGGTATGCAAAGTATCAATTTAATAAACTAGTGACAAATTAATAACATTTTTTGACATAATAGAGTATTTTATCTTACCAAATATTAAGTTAATAAAAATGTCAAAGAACAATACAAATTAAACAAAATTCTTAATAAAATTATTTACATCATAAAAGGTCAAAATTAAATCCTACAAAACATGTTTTAGCATAAATAATACAAATGGACCAAATTAAAAATCAAATTCTCACATATATAGAGAGATGTACAATTGTCTACATTTGCGTAAAATACTTATTATAATTTTACTAAATCAGTTGACAACACGATGCGACGCTACGCGACTTGGTAATACAAATCATATACCTACCTTTATATTGATAACAGCATACATTTGCGCAAATATTTAATTTTCAGATTATATTATGATTACATGTAAAGTCTTGTAATTACCTAATACTTAAGGAAAAATGTCGCTTTAGTTACTACTATATTTATATAAACGTAACAATCTTGGGCAGTAAATAAAACCAAGCTTACTCTTGCGGCCGGTCTCCTTTTTTTATGTAATAGATCGGCAAACGAGCTGACGGATTACCTGATGGTAAGTAATCAGCGCCGCCCATGGACACCCGCAACGTAGGAGTTACGAGTGCGTTGCCGACATTTTAGGGATTAGGGATTTGGAGATTTAGGGATTGAGAAGAGATTGGGAGTGGGGAAAGATTGGGCCTCCGGTAACCTCACTCACACGGCGAAACACAACCCTGTGGTTGTTTCAAGCCAGTTTTCTGTGAGGCCGTGGTATCACTCCGGTCGAGCCGACCCATTCGTGCCGAAGTATGGCTCCCCCACACTTTAAGCCCAAAAACTAAGTTTGAGGCAACTAAGGCTGCATAATTACAGTCGGAGTTGCCGGGTAAGCTCAATAAAAAACCGAAGCCTGCTTGGAATTTTGTTTGACGTTCAAGAATGCTTATAATGGTATTTTCTGTAAGAGGAAAATCATCAAATGTTTTCTTTCGCTCAGATCAGGGCAAGGGAGAGCCATGCTTCGGCACTAATGGGCCGGTTCGACAGGTCTCACAGTGAAACACCTACAGCGTTGTTTCGTCGTGTGAGTGAGATTACCGGAGGCCATTATCCCTTCTCCTCTCCCCATCCCTTTCCAATCCTTAAATATCCGGAACCCTATACCTTAAAATTCCGGTAGCTCACTCGTTACTCCTTTGTTGTTGTGGCTGTCCATGGCCGGCGCCAATAGCTTACCATCAGATAATCCGTCTGCTCGTTTACTGACCGATCTCAACAAAAAGAGAAATGGAGTGTCAGGTTCTTACTAAGTAAAAAACCTCCCCGTTACTGCTGTTCTAGACCGTTTTTTTTTGTGAGGGGAAAATCATCAAATGACTGCTTCCGCCCAGGGCCAGGCTGGTGGGCGTACCAGACTCTTACTGACTAAAAACCCCCTTGTTCCTTCTCCGGCTCTGGGCCGAGGTCGCGGTGCCTCATTGCGCTTTCCCGCAAACCCGGCAGAACATCAGCCCTATAGGGCCCCGTCTGTGGTGGTCTATTGGCTCTTTGAGGCGCGCGCGGAACGCTACGCACCGTATGTTCTAGACCGTAGCCTGCATAACTTATTACACTTATCCTTGACATATTTGATTTTGACTTTGACTTTATTTTTGTTTCAGTTTGCAATCATGGATGTGGAGAACGCCAATTGTAAGGTGAGGGTATCACAGTGCGCCGACATGGAAGTACTGCCTATCGAGAAGCCGTTGAAGATTGATGTGTAAGTACCTTCAGGTTTAAGTAGGGATAGCAGAAGTTAGCGTAGTAGCTTGGTTGCGAATGTCGCAGAAAGAGGCGGTGGAGCGGGTCTGAGAGGCAGCTGCTCTTGCAGACTCGATTCGTCACCGGAGGATGGGTAGGCGTTAGAAGCATTATACCACCCAGATGCCGCCCTATCAACAGCCAGTGGGTAATAACGGGGAATCGAGATGGGACGGCGAGGAGATGGATCGCCAATAGATGGAGGTGACCAGCCACTGCCGAGAGGTGACGGAAGTCGTTTTTGGTCCTCGTGGCTTCTCCCAAAAGGCAGAAGACGGCATGAAAGCTGAGTTTTTAGTGGGTGCAAGCCCCACATAACCGCACCGTTACCCCGGGCGGTGTGTGTATGCGAAAGGCGTTTTTCTCAGCTGAAAAAAAAAAGTAGGTTGGTTGCGGATCAGTCGCAATAATGGACATATGCACAGGGCTGGAGTAGAAGAAGGAACGAAAGGAACGGGATGGTTTTTAGTCAGTAAGAGTCTGACACTCCCTCTCGCCGCACCTAGGGCGAAGTAGTCATTTGTTGATTATCCCCCGTTTTGGGTAGGCATTTGACCTATATCATGTCTGGTGGCAAGCGATGATGCGACCTGTTAGGATGGCCCGTGGTCCTTTTAGCACTCGTTACTGCTAAAAGGATATTTAATTAAGAAAGGTTACACTAAGACTCACTGGTTACACAACAACTGAACTCTCGACACGGAATGTACGATATGTACTGCGATATGGCTATGACTGACTAATTAGCACATATGGAAAATGCCCTTTTATAATATTGGTAACAATATGGAAGCGGTGGGGTTTTCAGCTTAGTCATCATTGTATGCTTTACAAAGTCCGTTTATAACAAACCGATGTCTACGATGGAGCCCGTCTACCTATAAACAATCTATTCACTAGGGCCTTGAAGACACCCAGGGTGTAACTTTTTTGTGCCTGGCTGCACTATTCCTGCATGGAACCACTCTTTGTGTGATCCACTAATGGAAAAACCGTTAGCTGAGGCGATGGTTAAAAAATTTAATAAAAGACAATTTGGTACTTGCTACAGTCAAAAATGTCGACAATATGTCGATATCTACGTATGTATATTTATTTAAACATTTCTTTGTGATAAAATAATTATAATAATACAAAAAGTGATCTCAATAATTTATCAAATAAAGGGGTCACATTGATGCAATCAAGTCACAATCGATACTTATCGATTAGTATCGAATAAAAACAATCGATTCGGCGGCCGATTAATCGATAACCTTTTTTGTTATAGCGAAATTACTGGATTGGAGAAGTTAATTGAGGAGCTACATAGGGTGTTCTCACACGACCACGTCAATGTACAGGATGTTCAGAAATTGATGGCCGGATATAAATCTGATCCTAAAGATTGGAGCAAATTCGCTAAATTTGACCGTTTTAGGTAAGTAAACGAAAAAATTAGATATTGATTTTTCTATATTTTTTCACATGTGTTTGACTATTGACTTAAAAATTAAAAAGAAAACTAGGCCATACGTTGGACTCGCTCGCATGGTAACAGTTATGCCTACGTCATATTCTGTCCAAATTCTATCTGCCAAAAACCAAGAACACTTTTTTCCGATCCAAGAATCGAACCTGGGATCCCTTATTTTTTTCTATTAATGGATGTACGTTGCCCTCGTCTGTTGGTAAGCTATGATGCGACCTACGAGGAAACACGTTTACCGATAAGCAACCTATTTACTCGGGCCTTGAAGACACTTAATTAGGTTGTGCCCTTCGGGGAACACAGACTCCGGCAGAGAATTCCACTTCATAGATGATAAAACTGAAGGGGAACCGCTTAGAGCTTGTACAGGGGATCTACCATTAAGTCAGCGATAGCTTAATTAATGAGTCAGCCGGGTAAGCGCAATGAGTCACCGCGGCCTCGGCCCAGAGCAGGAGAAGGAACAGGGGTGTTTTTAGGCAGTAAGAGTCTGACACACCCTCCCTAACCCTGGGCGGGAGAAGTCATTTGCTGAATTTCCTATCACAAAAAAGAAAAGCTTAATTAATAAGTCACTAAACTATACATTGAGAAGGCTTCAAACCCTTTTGTCCTTGTGTTTGAGAAATTCTTTCATCATCATCATCATCATCAGCCCGTAAGTGCCCACTGCTGAGCAAAGGCCCTTTTCTCGCACGGAGAAGGTTGAGAGCATTAATCACCACGCCTGCTCAATAGGGGTTGACGATTTCAAACTTATAATTAAAAATTATAAGTCAAGGTTTCCTCACGATGTTTTACCTTCATCGTATGTCAGTGGTGTCTACATAATCAAAGAAACTCCATATAACTCGGAAAAAGTCACATAGGTACTTGCCAGGTTTCGAACCCAAACCCTCATGCATGAGAAGCGGGTTCCTTAACCTCTGAGCCACCACAAGAGGAATTCTTTGCTATGTTCAATGTAAAAATAGCTCAAATGACCTCTCATCCATCAGGGCAGAATAAGTCAATGAATCATGTTCTAGATATTTCGCAGCCGCCTGATAGCTTATCAGGGGCATAGCTACCTAATTTTCCGTTGTTTATAATGAAAACAAAGTCAATGGAGGGAGGGGGGGGGGGGGAGGATAGTGTTTTTTATAGACTTATTATGATAGGAATGTTTATCTTTTCTTGGCGGGGGAGCCCTGGTTAAGATAGTTTATCATTGATGACCAAGTACCAATGTGACTTATTCCGAATTATATGTAAGTACCTACTTTCAAATTTAGACACCACTGAGGAAACCTGGACTTATAATTTGAGTATAAGTTGGAAATAGCCAATCTGAAATAGCCAAATAGTCGGGTCGTGGTGTTCCGGAGGTTAAGGAGCCCGCTTCTCAAAAGTTTCGAACCCACACCCTTCTGCATGTGACTTTTTCCGAGTTATATGTACTTTCTATGATTATTTAGACGCCACTGACATACGGTGAAGGTAAACATCGTGAGGAAACCTGGACTTATAATTTCTGAATATAAGTTTGAAATCGCCAACCCGCATTGAGCAAGCGTGTTGATTAATGCTCAAAACCTTCTCCGTGTGAGAAGAGGCCTTTGCTCAGCAGTGGACACTTATAGGCTGATGATGTGGTGTTTCGACTCGACCGGAGAGATACAAAGGCCTCTGAAACAACCACAGCATTGTGTTTTGCCATGTGAGTGAAGTTATCGGAGGCCCTTCCCGATCACTAAATCTCTAATCCTCAAACGGTCGGCAACGCACTCGTAACTCCTCTGTAGTTGCAGGCGTCGTAGATTGCTTACCATCAGGTAAACCGTCAGCTAGTTTGCCAGTGTTAGTTACGAGTGCGTTGCTGACCTTTTGGGGATTAGGGAATTATAGATTGAGGCTTCCGATAACCTCGCTCAAACGGCAAAACACAACGCTGTGGTTGTTTCACTCCGGTGTTCTGTGAGGCTGTGGTATCGCTCCGGTCGAGCCGACCCATTCGTGCCGAAGCTTTGCTCTTTCACATTTATGTAGTAGGTAGTTATATATCTGTGGTGACAGCAGGGATGGAGTCAAACGAATCCATCTTCCTTTGCCATTTCTACACAGCGAAAATAGTCTTTCCCAAGGTTAAAAAAGTTATTTCTTCGGTTAGCAACCAAGTTAATGTTTATTCTTTCTTATCACTGTTCAGGTGGAAAACGATCCGTTGAAGTATCAACAGTCAACAACGAAGCTTTCATATTACAAGACATAAATTAAAACACATATTTACAATATAATTAACTACTTCAATAAAAGATAACGCCAAAAAATAATTGTATTTTTTGAACTCATATAGTGTAAAGGTCCAGTCAACTGATGGTAGCGGTGACTATCCAGGCGACACACGTACTTAGGTATCGTCATGAGCTAACGTTCACATGTAAACAGCAGCTCATGTAGTGTAGATGTCCAGTCAACTGATGGTAGCGGTGACTATCCAGGCGACACACGTACTTAGGTATCGTCATGAGCTAATGTTCACATGTAAACAGCAGCTCATGTAGTGTAGATGTCCAGTCAACTGATGGTAGCGGTGACCGTCCAGGCGACACACGTACTTAGGTATCGTCATGAGCTAATGTTCACATGTAAACAGCAGCTCATGTAGTGTAGATGTCCAGTCAACTGATGGTAGCGGTGACCGTCCAGGCGACACACGTACTTAGGTATCGTCATGAGCTAATGTTCACATGTAAACAGCAGCTCATGTAGTGTAGACGTCCAGTCAGCTGATGGTAGCGGTGACTGTCCAGGCGACACACGTACTTAGGTATCGTCATGAGCTAATGGTTACATGTAAACAGCAGCTCATGTAGTGTAGATGTCCAGTCAACTGATGGTAGCGGTGACTGTCCAGGCGACACGCGTACTTAGGTATCGTCATGAGCTAATGTTCACATGTAAACAGCAGTTCATGTAGTGTAGATGTCCATTCAACTGATGGTAGCGGTGACTGTCCAGGCGACACATGTACTTAGGTATCGTCATGAGCTAATGTTCACATGTAAACAGCAGCTCATGTAGTGTAGATGTCCAGTCAACTGATGGTAGCGGTGACTGTCCAGGCGACATGCGTACTTAGGTATCGTCATGAGCTAATTTAAAAAGGTTCACATGTAAACAGCAGCTCATGTAGTGTAGATGTCCAGTCAACTGATGGTAGCGGTGACTGTCCAGGCGACACACGTACTTAGGTATCGTCATGAGCTAGTGTTTACATGTAAACAGCAGCTCATAATTATATTGTAGATGTCCAGTCCTTACAATTCTGATTGGCGATTTCATATCTATTAGTTTCCAAAGTGTCCTGACAATATTTTCGTTTACCGTATCCTAGAACCGCATAGTATAAAACATAGTCGCTCTCTCTGTCCCTATATCTCTATATATGCTTAAATCTTTAAAACTACTCAACTGATTTTGATGTGTTTTTTATGGATAAAGTGATTAAAGAGGAAAGTTTATATCTATAATAACATCCATTAAATAATAAAGAAATTTAGTATCAGCATTAAACCTGTGCGAAGGCGGGGTGGGTCGAAAGTAATATGCAACAGAAAAAGTCACATTGGTACTAGCCAGGTTTAGGACCCGCACCCTCATGTATCAGAATCTTCTTAACCGCCCAAGAAACCAGGATATTTTCAAGCCACGTTATCACCACGCATTTATAAATCTCCCGTGCCTCTTACAGGTACACAAGAAACCTGGTAGACGCTGGAAATGGAGCCTTTAACATCATGATCCTGTGCTGGGGACCAGGACATGCGTCAGCCATCCACGATCATGCTGACTCTCATTGCTTTATGAAACTCCTTAGTGGGAGTTTGGAGGAAGTAAGGTAAGAAAACAAGAACTGCTTTCCTTCTTCAATTAGTCGTAGAATAATGTTTTTATATAGCTTAATTTGTTCCTCGATAAATACACTATCGAATTCATAAAGAATCATCCAACTCGAGCCAGTAGTTCCGGAGATACGCGCGTCGAAACAAACTCTTCAAATCTTTAATATTGGTATCGATAAAATATCTACCCTTATACACAAATTTTCACGTCAGCGTTGTCACTTTTACACACGTGACTTCTTGCAGATTTTTGGTATAAAAACTATCCTATGTCCTTACTCGAGTTCCAAACTATGTCTGTACCAAATTTCACAAGAATCTGTTCAGTAGTTCAGGCGTGAAGAAAAGACAGACAGACATAGTTACTTTCGTATTAGTCTGGATTAAGACCCTGAAACTTCTGATCTTCTTTAAAAATCGTACCGACAAAAGCAACCTTTGCTTCTAAGATATAAAGATCAAGATAAATAGATATATTTTGGTTATCAACGAAATCTATTAAATACAAATTAAACTACTTATATACAAAAGAAAATATTATCGGATTTCAATATTTATTTGCGTCAATTAAAACATTATTATTTACTTACATTAAGTTTACGTAAAATAATTCTTAGTTCGCAATCTGTACGTATGTGCGTCATGTCATATTAATAATTTGTTTTTCTTAGGGCTGATTTTTCAATGGTTAGATAAAAGTTACATGGGGAATAATTATGATGCTGTCGCGTCAGAATGTTTGTATAAGACAGTGACAGCAACAATTTTATTCCACAGATAACATTTATCTGACTATTGAAAAATCGGCCCTAAGTTAGTTATCTTTCGAATAAAACTTATCTAAATAAAAGTTAAAATCTTTAATATTTAAAATTTATTGGTGTGGGAGAGCCATATTTCGGTATTATAAGTTGGCTCGATCTGCGTGATAGCACAAACCAGAACCAGACCCGAGTTTACGGCGCATAGCGTTCCGCGCGCGCCTCAAAGAGCCAATAGACCACCACAGACGGGGCCCTATAGGGCTGATGTTTAGCCGGGGTTGTGGGGCAAGCGCAATGAGGTACCACGCTTCTTTCTTCTCCTTTTCTTCTTCTTTCTCCTGCTCTAAGCCATAGGTTTAAGCAAGTAACGAGGTGGTTTTAAGTCAGTAAGTCTGACCCTCGCTCTCGCTTCACCCTAGGCGAGAGAACTCAAAAAAAAGACTGCGGCCGTGGCATATTTTTACTTTTATTTTTACGTTGCCCTACACTAGGAGTTACTCCTGCGTCGTGAGTGGGTTAACAAACATACAAATTCACAAACACATCACACCCAGACCGAGTTGTTCGCGATCGAAGACGCGACACGGTGCGTGGCAGCCAGTTGGCTTTTATTATTGCATTTGATCTGTAATCCCGGCTGGAAAACATTTCCTTTATTGCGAATCTCCTAGTCCAGCAGTGGATTTAGTTCAACTAAGCACGTAATCCAGCTGATAATAATGTAACAGATTTTGTTACGAAAGAAATGTTTTTGTTTTACTGTCTGTCTCTGAGGCTAGGAAGCCTCGAAGCTTTTATTTTTAAATGAGAAAATGCGTCATACGAAATTATTATTAGAATGGCGACTATGTCATGTAGATAAGTAATTTGTAGTTTTCAAAACATGTGTATTTATCATCCGTCAGAAGTTATCACAAACAGAATGACGAAACTGCAATAATATTTACTTGGATCCCTTATCTTAGTACAGTGAAACCTGGTTAAGTGAGACATCAAGGGACCTGCAATGTCGTTTCACTTATAGAGGTATTCCACTTACCCAGTGTCTCAGATATACCATTCCAGGTTCTCAGATATGCCATTAGGTTCCATTAATAGAGGTGAGAATACAGGTTATTTCAGTTATACAGGTATACAGTCAGTTATTCAGTGATACATAACACGTTATTGTATTTAATGATCACACTAAATAAAATAACGTGTTATGTATGTAAATAAGTTTAAAAAAAATACATAATCACAAACTTTTTCGCGTGTCTTCCCACTTTCATAAACGGATATTAATTTCAGTTTTTCACGTAATGATAACGATTGTAGCTTTCGTTTTGGCATTTTTCAAATAAACATCTGTATCATAGTAAAGCGAAACTAAAACTGAAGGTAATTGAAGCTCTAAATGTGTACTTACGTACTTGGAATTACGTGTGGAATTTGTGGGTAGAATAAGAATGAGTAAACAAACAATGTTATCTCAGTTACAGAGGTTTATGCATATAAAAATTACTCGCTGTCTCAGTTATAGAGGTAACTATGATGATAAATCGAAAGAACAAATCCCAGATATACAGGTTTGCCTCGTCCCACTAACAGAGGTAATTCAGTGCCAAATTGTTGGGACCTCAGCATGAGTTCCAGTTATGGAGGTTTCTCACTTATCCAGGTCCCACTTAACCAAGTTTCACTGTATTTCACTAGGGGAGGGATGGTGGGAGGGGTAGGGTTGGGCCTTCGGTAACCTCACGGAACATAACGCTGTGATTGTGTCACGCTGGTTTTCTGTGAGGCCGTGGTATCACTCGGATCATGCGGATGCACGGTTCTTTTACTACCTCAGTGGCAGTCAAAGCCACGGCACCGAAAGAGTTGCTATTTTCCGAGTCATAGAAGAAAGAAAGAAAGAAAGAAAGAAAAACCATTTATTTCACACACAAATGACGCAAGAAACAAACACACACGAATATAGTTAAATAGGGACAAAACAAGCAATGAACATAAAAAAAAGAAAAGCACTACAATTGCGTCAATCATGCGTGAAAAAGGGGAGCGCTCAGCATAAATGATGTGTCTCGCGCACGCAGGCACGATACAACAGCGCTGGTTTTCAGCACTGACCATCCACGTGTCCTTGCCTCGCAAAAAAAAAACAAAAAAATGAATATTAAAACACGCCATAGACAAAACAAATCACAAGACGAGAATATCACAAAACATAGACAAAAAATCATATTTTTTCTAAAACTTACTACTGACAAAAACCAAAACATTCAAAAAAATGAATTAATACATTTACCCTCATGAGCAGCTTTCCTCCGCACTCTTTTAGAATTTTTTATCATAAAAAAGAAAGTTTTTTTTTTATTAATTCTAAAATACATTTTTCATTGTGTTCGCTTCGGATTAAAAACAATCAATTTCAACAATTAATAGTTTAATGGCTCATTTTTCAATGGTTACACAAAAGTTACCTGGGAATAATTATGATGCTGTCGCGTCAGAATGTTTGTATAAGACAGTGACAGCAACAATTTTATTCCTCAGATAACATTTATCTGACTATTAAAAATTTAGCCCTAAAATAACTAATTCCCACCAAAGATCACGAACGAAGCTGAGTGCAGTCACTAGTTTCTTATCACTATTACAATTGTTGATAACAACAAGTATTTTCTAGAATCTTGATAAATGAGATCTGGAAGATCTTTCGACATCCAATGATAAATAACAATAAACAATACATTGATAACTATGAATGCTTCTAAGGATCAATATTAAGATAACTATCAGTAAGTATGTTAAGCGAATATATTTAAGTGTGGGAGAGCCATGCTTCGACACGAATGGGTCGGCTCGACCGGAGTGATACCACGGCCTCATAGAAGACCGACGTGCAACACCCACAGCGTTGTGTTTCGCTGTGTGAGTGAGGTTACCGGAGGCCGAATACTTCCCCTCCCCCAATCCCTAAATCACCAAATCCCCAATCTCCAAAAGTTCGGCAACGCACTCGTAACTGCTCTGTTGTTGCGTCTGTCTATAACTGCTCTGTTGTTGCGACTGTCCATGGGCGGCGTTGAGTGCTTACCATCAGGTAATAACTTACGCCTGTTTGGCGACTTATCACATAAAAAAATATTTTGGTCAGCAAACGTTCTAACAATTCTCACTTACAATTTAAAGATTAACAAGAAAATTATGGTTTTTTGGTTTTATAAACAGTAATTACCTATAGATTATGACAAAAATGGCTAAAAACTGACTATCTTTTTAATGGAATATAAGGCAAAATAGTAGGCGGATCTCTTGAAGGTAAGTGATCAGCGCCACCTATGGACACGTGCAACATCAATAGAGCGTACATCTTCTTAAGAAGAAGAGAAGAAGTACCTACGCTCCTTTCTTGGTCTAAATGTCTTTTTCGTTTCGGAAATATCGCCGCAAAAAAAGTTACCTCAAGATAATGAATGTTTAAGTGTGGGAGAGCCATGCTTGGGCACGATAATATGTCCCCAAAAAACCATAACGTTGTATTTTGACGTGAAAATGAGCTTGCCGGAGGCATAATTCTTTCCTTCCACCGATCTGTCCCTAATCCCTTAATCCTAAAACCCCCAAACTTGCAATTCCTCTTTAGTTGCGAGTGTCCATGGGCGGCCCTGATTGCTCACCATCAGGTAATTCGTCGGCTCGTTTGCCACAATATAACACATAACAACAAAAATGTGGGAGAACCTGGGCCAGCACGACAATTACGACTTCGTAGAAAACCGGCGTAAAACAAACACAACTTTGTGTTTAGCCGTATGAGTGAGGTTACTGGACGCCTAATCCCTCACCCATCCATAATTTTTAAATATCCTATACCCTAAACTCCTAAAGGTCGGCAACGCACTTCATCATCATCATCACCCTTTTGTCCTCCACTGCTCTGCCCCCGTTAGTAAAAAAGACGCATCTAACATTTTTTCCAGATTTGAGTTAAATACATTGCCGGGATCAGAAAAAAAAGGCGCATCTGCCTGTATTTTTAATATTTTGCTAACTTTCTCCAGTGCGGTTTTAACACAACGAAATAAGACGCTTCTGTATTTTTTTTTAAATCTGATTGAAGATGAAAAGACGAATTTATCGGAAACTTAGTTGAAAAGTCGCATTCAAGTAGATACATTCCATTTAGTCTAAAGTTTTTTTCTTAGTTCGGTAATGTAAAAGGCACATATTTGTCCCTTTTTCTA